TAGGGTTTATTGTTTAGGGTTCAGGGTTTACGCTTAAGGGTTTACGGTTTAGGGTTTAGGGTTTGGGGTGTACGTACACGTTGAAAGGCCGCGAGCAGCACTGCTTGCGAGATATGCCCATCTTCAGTTTTTAGCGCGTTAATGAGGGGCCCCACACCTCCTGCAGCGCCACCCTCTTCTTGTTATAAACCCTAAACCCTAAACCCTAAACCCTAAACCCTAAACCCTAGAACGGACCTGGAATAGCTTGAAGGGCTTTCTGCAGCCCTTCGCCGCGAGCAGCTCCCCGATCTGCTGCACACACATAAATTGGGGCTGTACGAATTCATGCATGCATGCATGCATGCATGCATGCAGTGCGTGCAATGGTGTATGCATGCATGCATGCAGTGCATGCAGTGCATGCAAGAGCGCATGCTTGCATCCAGCGGTTAGTAGAGAAGGGAATACATGCACGCATGCAGCCAGCAGTAGAGTGCATGCATGCATGCATGCATGCATGCATGCCTTTTGCATGTGCATGTGCATGCATGCATGCATGAATGCATGCATGAATGAGCGCGCCACAGAGAGAAACAGAAAAGAAAAGGAAAAGACAAAAAGTCAGCAGAATAAAAGAGCAAAAGAAGCACAAATTAAAACAAGAAGAACGCAACAAAACAACAAAAAACAAAATTAAATTAAACAAATAAAATTAATCTTCACCCTCTTCATCTCCTCCCAACGCTGCTAAACTCCGCTGTGCCGTCTGAATATAAAAAATAAACAAGTTAAAATTAATTAAAATTAATTACTAATAATTACATTTTCTAGTTTAATTAAATATATGTGCATGCAGCATGTATGCAACATGCACGCGCCATGCATGCAGTATGCATGCAATAAACATGAAATATGCATGCAATATGCATGCAATCTGCATGCAATATGCATGCAACATGCATGCAATATGCATGCAACATGCATGCAATATGCATGCAAATTGCATGCGTCAAGGCAGCCCATCCTGGCTGCATGCAGCATTTATGCAATATGTACGGCGATGCATGCGCGATTTTAAATCGCATGCATGCTGCATGCATATTTGCAGCTATCACTCATACTGCATGCACAACATGCATGCAAGACAGTATTTGGTTAGCCTGCATGCATGCATCCAAGCATCAACAAGCATATGATGCATGCATGCATGCATGCATGCATGCATGCATGCAGATGGAGCAAACAAGCATGCATGCACTTGAGGAAAGCAAGCATGCATGCATGCATGCACCAAATGCATGCACACACGCATGGATATATATATATATATATTTATTTATTTATTTATATTTATATTTATATTTATATTTATATGTTGTGTTTGTGTTTGCTAACAATTGTAGCTTTAATTTGATTGAGGTAATGAGGCTGCACAAGGAAGTGAAAAGAAGAAAGAGCAAAAGAGTTAATTAAAAGCGATAAATTAACATCAGCTGAGAAATAGGCAAAGCCAACAGCAGCGCCGTCTGCCTCTGCAACAACACATTTATTTTCTTCGTCTTGGGCTGCATGCAAAGCAAAACAAATAATTTTTGTTTATTTGTTTGTTTGTTTGTTTGTCTTTGTTTGTTTGTTTGTTTGTTTGTTTGTTTATTTGTTTGTTTAATTATTTACTCATTTGTTTGTTTGTTTATATATATATATATATATATATATATATGTTTGTTTTATTTATTTATCTATTTAGGTATTTATTTGTTTATTTAATTATAGTACGAATGAACGACTAAATAAATAAATAAGCCGACAAACAAATTAACAAATTAACAAATTAATTAATTAATTAAATATATATATATATATATTTGTTTTGTTTAAACTACCTGCTGCAAGCTCAGCAACAAATGAATTAATTAATTAATAAATTAAATATATATAATTAATTAATGTGTTTAAAATACCTGCTGCAAGCTCAGCAAGAAAGTATGCTCCATAGACCGACGACTGCAGCAGCGTTTGTTTGTTAAAAATATTTTTAATGCAATCTAAATCTTCAGGTTTTGCTCTTCTTGCTTTTAATGCACATAAAAGTTTATCTCTCTTGCATGCCCCAACGTCTGCTGCATTAAACTCTTCGCAGCCAAACACACCGCATGTGCACCCGTTGCTGCTGCTGCTGCTGCTGCTGCTGCTGCTGTTGTTGCTGCTGATGCTGCTGCGTCGGCTGCATGCAGCAGAAGACGCATGCGCGTCCAGAGAAGGAAACAGCAAAGATAGGTCCTGCAGTAAGCTGCTGCTGCTGCTGCTGCTGCTGCAGGCATTCTCGCCGCAGCAATTTCTCGCATTTGCTGCATGCAAATCTTTCCTAATAAGCAGCAGAAACAGAATGAATGCATGCAAATGAATGCATGCAAATGAATGCACGCAAATGCATGCATGCAGATGAATGCATGCAAACAATGCCAGCATGCAACTTCAGCTTAGTTACGTCATCTCTATACACAATCCAGTGCATATA